AAGACCTTCCTGCTTCCACCGAGACGCAACCATTCAAGGTCGATGTTTCTTCCGTCCCCTCGTAATCCATTTCGGGATTTGTCCATTAGGCACCTGCTGCCTCCACCCATTAGCACCTGTATCATGAAGGCAATAAAAAGTTGGCATTGATTAAATACTCAAGTGACGCTTCATCAATAAAGTGTTGACGCATTACTGTCAACTGGACGCCACAACTAATGCTCACTGAAAAACATCAAAGAACTTCTTCAATATGTATCGCGACAGCACCTTGAACTCAGAGGCTGGATAAGAAAGCAGCTGCTTGGCAATATCCCTTGCACAACGCACTTCAGCTTCATCGTACTCCGCATTTCGATCAACGCCCTGAAATCAGCTTCTATCAGATTTTTTGGCTGAGCGCTGATCGTTAGGGGGCTTGCCTTGGCATAAAGGGCCGCTGGAGTAGCATGTGTGATTCGAGTTGTAGTCACGAAGCCCACAGATAAACCTGAAAATTGAAGCAATCCAATGTTAAAAACGTGTGATAAGTAACTATAGTAATAGTAGTAGTAACTTTACCTTTCTGAAGGACTCCTTCCGCTATCCCATCTACTATATCGTAACTGGTTGAGTCAGGACAGCGCTCCTTCGCACTCGGCAAAATCCCCAGTGTCCTCGTGTTCACCTACATCAATAAGATGTCAGCTTCCATGCTAATGATCAGTGTTATTGATCCCATAACTTTTATCATTTAAGTATATCATGCATTTATCTATAAAAATCGTAGCGACTGGAAACACTGGGTTGCACTCTCAGTGAAATGAGTGGTCCATTTCTTCATGCAATGTGAGCTTCGCTTCCTCATGCTTGCAGAACTTTCACTTTCGAGTATCTCAGATTCTGTTCTGGACCTCACCTTTCTTCCTGTAAAAAGAGCCATAGCACTAGCAGCTGAGTCCGTGACATGGTGGTCCAGAGAGCTCGTCTAAATTGATCATATTCAAGTGAATAATAGGAAATTGTAATTAATAAAGCAGAAAAACCATGAACTATTATCATCCTACAGAATTTCAATAACCTTTAACTATATACATATCTCTGGAAATGACGGTGGTATGGTGGCAAACGGTGCACTATCACGCACGCTTGGTCGGAGTCGAATCCTTCGTCGATACTCAGTCAGGCCAACTACGTCCGGAAGGATTTCATTTTTCTTCATAGGCCAAACTGTCGGTGTGGCAACAGCATTCCAGCTTTCAGTTCAACAAATTCAACACTTCCAGTCACAAAAATCCATACTTAAATCAGTGCTTTTAAATCAGTTTTATGATGCATCCCCCTGTCTTCTTCTTCATCCCAGCCGTAATGTCAATGCAATTGTAAGTTGCACACATTATTGAAAGGGGATTTAAACGCAAATCTTTGACTTTACGTACTGCCACATCGTAGAATTTTTGCAAAGTGCAACCATTTACTACAACCCCGCCAGCGTTACGACATAGCAACATGCTGTCAAAATCTGCGCGGATATCATCTCACTCATTAAGGGGTGCAAACATGAACATCCTGAATGGTTGCTTCACACAGTCTAACTGAAATGAGGCTTGGCTCAGTTACAGAAAGGAGACGATGCGAGCATTAGTTGAACTGTTCCATTGTTGTACAAATAAACTATAATACTTTACTGATCCATTCAGTTCATATTTGATATCGACAAATTTGCATCATTTCCACATACACAAAGTTCCCAGTAGTTTTTAAATTTACCGGTCTACAGATTCAATCGGTATTCCCGTAGTCTACCAACTGTAGTACCAATAACTACTATTATACTATACCTTCATTGTGTACGTTGAGCATCTGTCTTCGATGGATTGACCTTCAGCTTTCAAGAGGAGAGGACAATAACAATTTGATGCAAACGGGGCGCTAATCCAAGGTTTCTTTTGAACCTTACAATCTTAGAAAGCGGTTGAAGCGGAAGACGAAACGTGCCAAGTGATGCTACTTCGAGGCCCATATCTAGGTTCGATTAACTGCCACACGCTTCGCCTGAGAGGAATTTCTGCGAATAAGTGATTGCAGTCCGCATTAGAAAGCTTCTGCGTTACTAAATAAAGGGCGAATGAAAGGGTCCATTTCTACCTGGAGGACTTCATTTCTACTTATTTGATTTCATTTGAACGAATATTGAACCTACGAACCATCACCAATCCACTGTATGGGAACTTCTCAAAATACAGTGGTTTGTTGAGATGGGGGATTCCGGCCTTCTGGTTCTTGTTGATTCTGGCACTGGTCACTGTTGATATACCCATCCCGTCGCCAACGAATACAATAACATTCTTTGGTGGTTTCACTGTAACACTTCGGTGAATTTCTTTAGCCTTTCATCTCTTCTTTTTAGGTATTCCCTTTCTTCCTAATCAAAACGGAATACAGACCTTTGGAGGCATAATTCACAATAATTTTGAGAGTACCCTCTTTAGGTAGAAAAGTGGAAGTGTTGATGTAGAGGAGAACATCGGTCGCAAAGAGAGCGAGAAATCCGCCTACTTTGAGGCTTTTCAAAAGTAGCGGATGTGGAGATTGTACGAGATCACCGTGACGGTAGTGGCATATAAGGGGGTGTATGTCGTTTGGCGCGATGGGCGGGGTCGCGCCGCCCATTTGA